TCTGAATTTTCTGCTAAATATACTAAAATATTGGGATCAATTTTTGCTACACAGGAGGATGGAATTGTATAGTTGACTTTCAATACTATGAATGCAGTTAATACCTTATCTCTAATTTTCATAAAAAGTGTTCTAATTTCGTGTTTTTGCTCTTCATTAAGAGAAAACCGTGATAAACCGTTACAATTTGAGTAAATTTATTGAAATAAGGGACTAAGTTATCTCTAATGTCTTGTCTTACTTTTACGAATTTCTTTTTTTATAGCACGTTTAGCCTGATTATATATTTCTTGCTTTATTAATACTAATTTAGACTGTAATTGTTTCCAGTTATTTTGCATGTGTTAAATAAGTGTAAATTAAGCATTTAAATACATAACCTACTACAATTAAAAGAATTTTACCTTACAACAATAATTTATGCTCGTATTACATAGTCATACAGGGTTCCCCATATTAGACTATGCAGTTTAAAAGTCGAATAAAAACATTCTGATCAAAATAAATTAACAATTTAATGGACTAATATGTAGCTAATTTTATGGGATTTATAACGAAAATAAATAATAAGTCAATTTTTAAAGATCATGTCTTCCAAATGCCCTCCTTCGACTTCAATGCAATTTTGAATTCTAAGTTCAAAATTTTGCATCACTCGACGCAGCAAATCTCCATTTATTNTACGTCCTGTGATACAACTGGTTAGAGATTTGGAAATTTTACTCTATCACAGTAACTTAGTCGGCATAAAGAAATTTCCTGGCGCCCAGTAAGATCTTAGTTTTAGATGGTCAAACTTTAAATTAAAATTTCTACCAGTGGACCCACCCGTCTCCACTGAAGCTGCCGCTATCATTCCCTGTCATCGGGGCAGGACAACACTACAAGGTAGAGTAGTGGATTTTTTTTGTAGCCCAATTTCTTACTGACTGTAAGGTAGGGTTGCAAGTTCCTCTTGGTAAAATAATGGAGGTAGTTCATGTAACTTTTTTGTCTTAGACGCCCTGTTTTTGAGATACAGTGTGTTGAAATTGTTACTCCAAATGGTTTTCCTTAATTATCTCTAAATAGGGTAAAGATAAAAATGTAAAAATTTGTACACGAGTAAACATCAACTGTGCGTCAAGAATAATGTGCAAACAGTTTCTTTCTGAAAAGCAGTATCGCCGATACAGGTAATTGCAAAAAAAATATGTGAAAAGTCAAAATTTATTACATTTCTAAACGGTTCTGTAAACTCTAAAGCATACTACAAAAAAAAGACATACTTGTCGACATTCGGTAGCATGTACCATTTTCGAGAAAAATTAAGTTGCATTTTTTTTTGTTCACTAAGCGGCATAACAAAATATTTAATTGAAAAGGACTTTATCATTGAATGGGCTGAAGACATTTAGCTACCAACAGTATTTGCATTTAAGACTGTTATAATTTTATAATTTTTTACTATGTTTAATCACATACCTATCAAGTAAGTTATTGTCAGTTGTCAGATTAGAGAGTTTAAAAAAAGTCATAAGTTTTTGGATTTGACGAAATTGTACGATCTGATTGAGACTCAGTTAAGGGCGCTGGATACGTTGGGGATTACGTCAGACAAGTACGCAGCGCTTTTGTTTCTTGAATCTTGTTTGTCACAAGAACTTTTACGAATATGGCAAAGATCGGCTTTTAATTCGCGTGGTTCAGGAACAAATAATAGCGCGAGTAGTAGTAACAATGAACCAGCAGCATCCGTAGGTGACTGTCCATTAGAAGTTAGGCTTGGAAACCTTTTAAGTTTTCTACGCGCCGAGGTCGAAACTGAACAACGGATAGACTTAGCAAGCGAGGGTTTCGGTTTAGCTGATAATTTTAAAACAAGGTCCGGTACGGCTAACCAATCTAGTAAAAGAAATGCGTCTAAATTGTTAAATAATTCGACCTTTACTGCGGCGGGTTTAGTAAATGTCGATGTTGTCAAATGTATATTTTGTACCGGTGTTCACGAGAGTGACAAATGTTTTAAGGCACAAAAGATGACACTAGAAGAGCGCAAACGTATTNTGCATCCAATCCATTTATCAGAAAAAGTTTCATCTACGATCATAATAATTGTCTTCACTCAATTCTTATAACAAATGAATTTTATATGGATGCAATTTTTCCCGTTTGCAAGTTTTTTGTATGAAATGGATCTTCCACCACACCTAACATGACATTAAAAGAATTTTCTTCATTTGTAAGGCTTACTGGTCTTCCATTTTTTCATAGATCTGTAACAATTCTATTTTCATGAAAACGCAGCAATGTTTTTGAAACTGTTGATTTAGACTTCTACACAACTTCGTCTTCTATCACCTTACATATCTTATGAACATTAAAACTTCAATTATGCTCGGTTTCACTTAAATGTGCCATTTTTGCGAGAAAATTATTCACACTAAATGTATTGACATGTGTTGTTAAGATAACCACTATTAGGCAAAAGAACGACGCGACGTTGTTATGGAGCTAGAAACTTTCGAAGGTAACTTAATGGATTAAAAATATTTTTGTATAATTTATAAGACAATGATTTTTCATTATCTCGAAAACAGTTAATTTAGGTACAGGGTGATTCACTATATTTTGACCCTCCCCCTTAACTTTTTTGTTTTAAGAGTTATAAAAAAATGTGATATACAAAAGTTGCACGATCTTTGATGAATTTTTCGAAAATGATAGTAGAAAAACAAATGAAGTTCAAACAAAATGGCCGCGGATGTTAACTTTGTTAATTTAAATGGAACACCCTGTATATTTTTACATATTTTGATGGAACGTCCCCCGCCGAGCACAGTCATATATGGTTTGTTGGGTCCATCTCTAACAATAAGCGAGATAATATTAAAAAACGAAAAGAAGGTTTTTTTTATTAAGAAAATAAGATATTTTGTAATTGTTGGACATCTTTCAGACATTTCTGCCTTTTCTCCAATTACGTAAGGATTTAAATTTATTTGTAATATATTTTGACATATCGAACATTGATATAGTCCAAAATGGGTATAAGTATTTTAACTAAATCTCACTAATTAGACCGTGTGAGGACTATTTACTCATGGACAATGTTATATGGTAGGCCGTGACAGTGAAAGGTAATATTATGACAACATTGTTATTATTTGACAGTTTGTATTATTATTTGATTAAAATGGGTCACACAGAAGTAGAAAATTTAAATATTATAGGAATTGAAATAGAGTAGTTAAGATATTCTCCATACTTTATTTTAATTCCTAATATTTCAATTTTCTATTTCTGTGTAACCCATTTTAATTAAATAATAATACAAACTGTCAAACAATAACAATGTTATCATGACATTACTACCTGTCACGACCTACCATATAACATTGTTCATGAGTAATTGGCCTCACACGGTCTGTATAATATTCGGGTTCCTTATCTTTTAAATTAACTTCTCGTTACTTGAAATAACAACTTTATTTCTATTTTTATGAATGACAAAGAATAATATTCATATATCAAGCATAACTGTCAAATACTGTCAAACAAAGTTACAATTGTTCTCTCCTTTTTAGATCAGGGCAACACTGACCAGGGCAACACTGACCAGGGCGCAGAGACTTTTACATTTAAATAAGTACCCAACATGCCCCCCGCCTTGAAAGAAGAAACAATCATTTCAACTAATAACTAACAATAGGTTTACAGCTAACTACAATGGTTTATGACCACAGTCAAAGTAGAAATTTGGTTCGATATCACTTAATCACTCGGTATAATGACCCTGAGCACTCCCGCACCTTTCATTTGCTCGATTTCCTTCTGAAACGTCAGGTAGGGGACACACCTTTGTTGCAGCTCGTTTCGTAGGACCATTGGCAGTTTGGATGGTGATAACTCTGGCGATTCCGTCTGCTCCGGGATGAAGTTCTTTAACTCGACCAAGCCTCCAGCGTAATGGTGGCAGATTTTCATCTCTTAAAATCACTAGGTCTCCAACATTCACAAACCGTGGACCACGATGGTTTTTCTGTCGTTGATGTAATTCTGAGAGGTATTCTTTTTTCCATCTGCTCCAAAAGTGCTGGACAGTCTGTTGGATGCGCTGGTATCTTACCAGCCTATTGGTGGGGACATTTTCCAGCTCCCGATCTGGTAATGACGTTAATGGGCGGCCAATTAAAAAATGCGCCGAGGTGAAAGGAGTGAGGTCGTTAGGACTGGCACTAATAGGGGATAAGGGCCTTGAATTTAAAATGGATTCAACTTGTACTGAAACGGTGTACATTTCCTCAAAGGTCAAGTGCGCGTTTCCCGCTATCCTCTTCAAATGAAACTTGGTGGACCTAACCGCCGCCTCCCATAAGCCACCGAAATGGGGTGAATACGGAGGGATAAAGTGCCAGTTAACATCTTCGTTTGCATGAATTTTGTTTTAACATGTTCCCCAATTACTTTAAGTCAGAGTTGGCTCCAACAAAATTCTTTCCGTTATCCGAGTACAAAGCCCAAGCCCGCCACGACGACCTATGAACCTACGCATAGCCATTATAAATGCCCCGGTGGACAGTTCTGTTACAAGTTCTATTATGTATACATTTGGTGGAAAAACAAATGAAGATACATACATAACATTTTGATAATTTGCTTCCTCTGCCCTTTCTATTTGCTAACCACAGAGGACCGGCATAATCGACACCAGTGTGATAAAAGGGAGGGGAAGGCGTTACCCGTTGAATCGGTAAATTTCCCATAGGGGGTGCAAAAGGCTTTGGATTTACTCTGACACATTTGACACATTCGTGGACAGTTTTTCTAGCAAGTTTCCGACCGGATACAATCCAATATCGTTCACGTATTGAAGACAATATTTGCTGCGGTCCAGCGTGCAATAATTTCCCATGTTCATAGCGAAACAGCAATTTGGTCAAGTAATGATCAGCCGACAATATCAAGGGGTTTATTTTATCAAAAGAGTAATTTGAATTGGTCAGTCTACCTTTAACCTCTTAAGGTTCTATCAGTATGCAAAAAGGTGTAAGTTTTAATAATTTACTACGTTGCTTTATTGTACCTTGAGCATCTATAGAATTAATATCTTCCCGGAATGATTCAAGCTGAGCTCTTTTTACTAATATTAAAGCATTGAGTTCCTTCGTAGTCAAAGAACCGTATGTGCGATCATTGGCTTTAAGTTTGCAGTTAGTACAAAATCTCAAACAATATGCAGTCACTCGCCGTAGTTTATTCCAACATGAATAATTTTTAAAAGAAAACGGTTCTTCACCTTTGCGCGTAATAAGGCACTGTTTAATGACCTTCAAATCTGGCAGATCACTATCATCTTGTAAACACCTTTCATTAGATACAAAATCTTTATCATAATTTTGCTCCTGGAGCCACTCAGGCCCTTGCCACCACATTGAGGAATTTTTTAAATTGGAGGGACTGGTACCTCTGGACAATAAATCTGCAGGATTGTTAGAACCGGAAATGTGTCGCCATGAATACGGATGTGTATTAGTTTGTATCTCCGAAACACGGTTGCACACAAAGGTTTTGAGCTTAGAAGGTTCAATTTTAAGCCAAGCGAGAACAATAGTTGAGTCTGACCAAAATTGACAATGATCGAATCTTACATTTAAAGACTGGACAACCTTTTGATATAACCTTGACAATATTAGTGCCCCACATAATTCAAGTCTGGGAATTGTGGTTGGTTTCACAGGGCTGACCTTTGCCTTTGCATACAATAAACGAACATACACATTGCCATAACCATCTACTGAGCGTAAATAGATACATCCCCCATAAGCTCTTTCACTGGCATCTGAAAACCCATGCAATTCAATTCTAATGGGATTTCTACAAATGACGTGACGATCTATGTTCAATTCATTTAAAGTGTGTAACTCTGATCGAAAATCAATCCATTTTGTATGTAATTGTAACGGAATAGCTTCGTCCCAAGAAAGTTTCAGAAGCCATAGCTCTTGTATGATCATTTTTGTGACTACAACACAAGGACTAAGTAGACCCAAAGGATCAAAAATTCTAGAGATTTCTGATAAGATAGCACGTTTATTTACTCGAGATATTTTAACAATATTGATGTCATAAGATAATTGGTCAGATTGAGGCAACCACATTAGACCAAGTGTTTTAGATTTTTCTTCCTCTTCTTTTCCAAATCCCTTTGAACTTGATGACCATCGAGACATATCTATTCCTTCAAGAACTTTTCAGAGTTAGAAATTCACTTCCTTAGGAAAAACTGACCCCGTTCCAAAATATTTAGAAGGCCCACACAATTTTGCTGTAGCGATTCTAAAGAATCCGACCCTGTGATTACATCATCAACATACATATCATGTCTGATGATGTTTACTACCTCAGGACACTCATTCTCGTACAACTTTGCCAATTCAAACAGACACCGAATTGCCAGAAAAGGTGCACTAGCTGTGCCATAAGTCACTGTGTTTAAATTAAACGTTGAAATAGGCAAAGAAGTATCAGAACGCCATACAATTCGCTGTAGAGAGCGCTCTCTTTCTTCTACAAGTACCTGCCTGTACATTTTTTCAATATCTGCACACGCTACATACGTATACTGCCTAAAACGAAGTATGACTGTTATCAAGTCAGACTGAATAGTAAGACCCACCATTTGAAGATCATTAAAAGAGTAGCCAGTTGTAGTAGGAGATGATGCATTGTATACCACCCGCAATTTAGTGGTTTCACTACTTTCTCGCAGAACACCATGATGAGGTAAATAGTATGCACATTCAACCTGATCTTTGCCATTCACCTTAGTCATGTGACCCATTCTTCCATATTCCTCCATAAACTCTACATACATATTCTTGAATTCAATATTATTCGCAAATTTGCGCTTTAACTGCTGAAACTGTCGAATAGCTCGATTTTTAGATTCCCCTAACAGACTCACACAACTCTTTAATGGAATAGACACCACAAAACGTCCATCTTCATCTTGTCTCGCTGTTTTTGTGAAATGATCCTCACACATTTGTTCTTCTTTCGAGAATTTTCGAATTTCTGAGAATTCATTTTCTATCTCCCACAGCTTACAAACCTGCCTTTGTAAGTCATTCTCAACGGATAAGTTACAATGAGTAAATTTTTCCTGCCCACCGACACCTAAAGGCCCTGAAACTATCCATCCAAATTTTGTTTTTTGGAGGACAGATTTGTTCAATCCTAGATTTATTTGGTCAGCACACAATAGGTTCCAGAATATATCAGCACCTATTAGCATATCTACTCGAGACGCTTTGTTGAACTGAGGATCAGCTAACCTAAGATGCTGAGGAATTTCCACCTGCGACAGATTGAATGAAAACTCAGGAAATTGGCTTGTTATCTCAGGAATCACAAGACACGATATTGAAATACTAAAATTATTTTGACAAGAACGTACAGTGACCTGAGATTTCGATTCTATTTTTGTTGATGTACAACTTAAACCTACCATTTTTATTTCAATTGGAGTTTCCGGTAAACCCAACTGTTTCACTAAATTTGATGTCACGTAAGACGACTGTGACCCACAATCTAACACAGCTCTTATTAGTCGTGGCTTACCAGTCTTATCTAAAACCTCGAGACTTACTGTAGACAACAACACCATATTTGAAGAAAAGGATGATAAAGTAACAACTGCATCAGAACCTTTCGAATTTTCCCCTTGCTCTATAGCCTCATGATGAAGTAAAGTATTGTGCTTACCGTTGCATTTGTTGCACAAAGCCGTTATCCTGCACCGTGTAACAAAATGACCAGATTTGAGGCAATTTAAGCAAAGTTTTAATTCCCTGACACGATTGTACCTGCAATCGGTAGACAATTTTTGAAATTCTGCACAGTTATAAGAGAATGTGCAGCCTTACAATGAACACAATTTTTTAAATTATTGTTTTCTTTCACACTGGACCCCAGCAGGCAACGTGACGATTGAATTTGCCTCTTTTCGGACCGATTTCCATTTTTGAGTTCCAAACTTTCTAGAAAATCTGCCCTCGTTTTTAGGAAATTTTGAAAATCTTCCAATGTGGGAGGATCACTACCCACCTGATGCTCTTCCCACTTTCTGTTAGTAGCATTATCTAATTTAAGACTAGCCATATGGATTATTAACGTACCCCACTCGTTAGTATTTTGCCCTAGTGAATCTAAAGCACTCAAATGTTTAACAATATTATTTGATAAAGCACGCAGCTTAATAGAAGATTCATGTGACAATTTTTCCAAATTAAACAATGCTTTTATGTGATTATTTATAAGCAGTCTGGTATTATTATACCGGTCACACAGTAATTCCCAAGCCTTTTGATAATTATTTTTTGCAAAATCTAATGTCTTAATTATTTGTAACGCATCCCCCTTTAGTGACGATCTTAAAAAGTGAAATTTATGTATTTCTGATAAACCAGTGTGACAATGTATTAGAGATTCAAAACTATCTCGATATTCTAACCAAGTGTCATAAGTTCCATGAAAATCTGGAATTTTGATAGTTGGCAATTTTAATCCACTTACAAAACCCGTTTCAGTTCTACATATTTCACTATTAATCGATTGGGCATGCGAATGTACTGACTCTATTTCATCTTTAAGATTTTCCCCGAAAACTATTTAATAATTTTTTTCCTTTTAAGGTACAACTATAATACTGACTCTGAAATCCTGAACGATCCTGGAACTGCTTTTCTGTCTCGGATTCAGACACTGTTAATTCGATTTGCAACTGAATTTCTTCATAATCGGACATTAACGAAAGTGCTGCATTTAGCCTTGATTCAAGCTCTAACGCGCATTCTTCTTCAACAACAAAATTCTCGCTTTCGGACGCGGTAATCAACTCCACCAAGTATCTTTGAAAAGCCTTTGTTTTACGGAGCCTCTTCTTCTAACTAACAATGTGAGTTCTTTCTCTTCACTCATTCTTCAAATTGGATAAAATTGTCGATTTCCGCCCAATTTTACGTATACACAATGCTGCTCCCTGCGACGAACAACTAACGTATTCAGGAAGGCTGTGTCAACCAACAAACTGTTTATTCTTTCCTTGCAAGTCCCTGCTCGGGCGCCATGTATAATATTCGGGTTCCTTATCTTTTAATTAGCTTCTTGTTACTTGAAATAACAACTTTATTTCTATTTTTATGAATGACAAAGAATATTATTCATATATCAAGCATAACTGTCAAATAGTGTCAAACAATTGTTCTCTCCTTTTTAGATCAGGGCAACACTGACCAGGGCGCAAAGACTTTTACATTTAAATAAGTACCCAACACGGTCTAATTAGTGAGATTTAGTTAAAATACTTATACCCATTTTGGACTATATCAATGTTCGATATGTCAAAATATATTACAAATAAATCTAAATCATTACGTAATTGGAGAAAAGGCAGAAATGCCTGAAAGATGTCCAACAATTACAAAATATCTTATTTTCTTAATAAAAAAACCTTCTTTTCGTTTTTTAATATTATCTCGCTTATTGTTAGAGATGGACCCAACAAACCATATATGACTGTGCTCGGCAGGGAACGTTCTATCCAAATATGTAAAAATATACAGGATGTTCCATTTAAATTAACAAAGTTAACATCCGCGGCCATTTTGTTTGAACTTCATTTGTTTTTCTGCTATAATTTTCGAAAAACTCATAAAAGATCGTGCAACTTTTGTATATCACATTTTTTTATAACTCTTAAAACAAAAAACTTAAGGGGGGTCAAAATATAGTGAATCACCCTGTACATGATGTGTTATAAGAATTTTGTTTAGAATTTCGAGAATTGAAATATGGAATAATATACAGGGCGTTCCATTAAAGAAAAAAGCATTTTTATTTCGCAATGAGTTTTTAACTGATCGTGAATATTTAAATTTTGTTTATTGTAATAGATTTTAAAAAACCGTAAAACGTTTGTGTTCTTACGATTTTTCAATAGCTATTTTACGTTAGGAGATAATCGACCGTTTCCATACATATCAGCGACCCTGTATATACGCCCCCTATTAACCAACCAGTGGAAATTCCTGTTTGTGTAATCGTATAGCAAATGTAGCTAACATTTACGAGCCAGCCGTACTTTTCATGGCACTTCAAACATCAAAGCGATACAAAATTATATGAATCGGTTCAACGTCGTCGCTTAACAATAAAATGTGATCGACATTAGCTCACTTTCTGTGTCAGCTTTAATAGAAGCGGTGTTGCGCTACTAATTATAACGATATTAAAACAGCAATAGGTCTAGCAAAAACCTCTCGGTAATTACTGGCAATTATACGGACAATTATTATGAGCTCACATCACAGTAGGTCATTTATTAATATGCATTCTTCCTTCCAACAATCACATTAACTATTTAAATTACTGACAACGATCGTCATCTTTAGATCACCGCTACTAAAGTAGAGATTAAAACAGAAACGGTGAAGTGAATTATTAATGGGTGCACTTTAGGTCACCGTTATCGCTGTTTTAGTTTTTTAGGACAATGTATATTTCATCAAAAACTTTTGTAGATATTATCTTGTAATGGGTATACGTATAGCGAATGAAGAGTAAGGACGAATTTGATCGCTTAATTCGTTTGTTTTATCGTTGTACAGAGCAATATCGAACGAATTCGATGGCCTCGTCCTTGTATGGTACACATACAACAAATGAAGGTAATGAACGAATTCAGCTGAATTTTTCCTTATTCGACCAAGACCTGACTTTCCTCGATTTCCAAGTCCAAATCAAACTAACTAAATAAACGACTTTTGATGAACAAATTTGTTCGTTACCTTCTGTCACTGTTTCGTTATAACCTACACACTGGGCGAATAGTTTTGTTCACCATCTTTCTCTCGCTGAATGTATACAGGGTGATTCAGTCATACTGTCATTAATTTTAAAGGAAGATAAGAGAAAATGAGTAGAATACGGATACGCGATTAAAAAAATTTTAAAATGCATATTTTCGCTGAAAAAAAAATATTTTCGAATCATATTTTCCTAGCAACCGCCTAGCAACGGTCAATACAATACTGTTTGTGTTAACCGTTGCTAGGCGGTTTCTAGGAAAACTGTACGATTTTTTTACCGTACGTAATAGAAATCTTAGATTGATCGCAGACGGTGTGTTTAGTAGTGGTTGTAGATAAAGTATAGTACGCTCGCGGCGTCGTGCGTAACTTTTCCATTCGTGCGTAAAATGCTTTTTACAATACTTATTACGTAATATACTATTACAGTAGTGGTCGTAGGTAAAGTCATTTTTCTGTAAAACCATTAATTAAATAATTGTTAAACGAAGATATAGCACTTTTCATTATAAATACAGTCCACTAAACCTATTTATGTTTTTATACATTATAATTGAATATGAGTTTTTAGCATTACGTTCAATTAATTATTCAGTTTGTAGTACGTAGTGACTTATTTCTTTTCAAAGAGTAGTACAGTATTTAAAATGCCAGTACGGCTAAGAAAAACAATTATTCGTCCATAGCACTTTATTAATAAAGTTCGGATCCCCTCACTTTTATTTTGAAACCAATTGCAAAATTCAAAACGACTGGATAAATCGGCTGTTTCGCTTCAACGTTCGAACGCTTTGTAGTCTGCCGGCCGGCGCATTCCCTGACGCGAAGTAGGGTGCCAAGTTAACGGGAATTGAGAGGTAATTTGCTTATTTTTTTATAAGGTCGAGTAAAATAATTTTTTTTCGATTTTCTGTTTTTATTAGACCTTCCGAATACGTGGTTAAAATTAATTACATCTGATGAAGTATGCCTCAGCAGTATACTAAAAACAACTTCAAAGACAAGCATTTTATTAATAATTTATGATATTGTTGAATCAACTATTGTGCGGACAAAAACCAACCTCAATATTGAATTGAGTTTATCTTTGTCAAAGAGGTGATGTTAGAAACAAGAAAAGAGATAATTTCTTAGAAAGTTCATGTTACATTACGTAACTTTCATTCATGATAAATATTTTTATTTTTATTAGATATTAACTAATATGTTGCAATTCAATGATAGACCGAAATTTGATCCGCAGAGTAGTTGTGTCCTGCAATATTATTAATAATTAATTAAAGTTTATCTTTGAAATTACTTATTTACGTATATTAGAAAATTTTAAGAAAAGTTAGATTGAGTACCTTCTAAGGCTTTGTTCTCCTCGTCATTCAGACTTCTCATTTGTAAAATTTGTTCATTTTAAAATATATTAATTACTAACGTCATACCTAAGATTACTGTTCATTTCAAAAACCACCTGAGTCGAATTTTTTAAAATATAATATTTGCCATAAAACGCCTTTCGGATTAAATGTAAAAACCATACAATTGCACAACACGTTAGCTGCTACTTCGGTATTAATTTATATATTCACTACAAAAAATACATAAGTCTGGCGACTTGCGTTGTTTTTTAAGGACTATTAGGCTGAAGAGTGGAAGATGAAATCATAGGATTTCCCCGATAAAGGAATTTTTACTTTATTGAAAAACATGTAGAAAATGTAGGATAAACTAAATTAAAAAAAATAATATCGATTTACTATGTATTCCACCATATTAGTCAGCTCAGCTGCTCAGCATGGCAACTTGCTGTAATATCTTTATTACCTATTATACCAACAAATCGGTATGAATTTTCTGAATTTGAATTCTGACACGATTTTATCTTGATTTCGAATTTGTAAATAAAACAAATAAAAGTTCCATGAAGGCTAAAAGTTTAAATTGTTATATGACTCTGGACACATAAAGTATAAATATAAATATGCATTCGTTTGTAAATAAATGTATTTTTCCATTGCAATAAAGACTTGAATTTCATGCATTAGTTATTGTTACAGTTCTTATCTCTAAAATAGTTCTTGGTATTTATTAGTATTTAGTAATTTTTCTGATGTGAATGAGTTATTTCCCGAGATCGGAAATTTTGAATCTGTTGTGGGATAAATTACTGGGAAGGATTGGAAGCACTTAGAATAGCTAATATGGGGATGCCATTTGTTTACATTTGCTTAGTAGTTGGTATTTGAATACGTGCTAATATTCTAATTCCAAATTCACAG